TCCAGACCTGAAACGTTAGCTTTCCTGCTCCTCTGATGCTGCTTGGCCTGCTGTGTTCATCCAGCTCTACACCTTGTTATCTCAGATTCTCCAGCATCGGCAGTTCCTACTATAGCTGGAATCCAAGATGGCTGCCAATAAACCTCAGAGCTGGAGGAGCCCTTTGGACCTGCTGAAGTGAGTTGTGACTGTTCTGTATCAGAGCTCAATTGACACACCTTGATTTGGTAATTCTTCAAAACCCTCAACCAGCAAAACAACAAACCAAATGTTTCTGTCTGTCTTTTTTGACAGGTCCATGCAAAAGGCTTGAAGCTTGGTATTTATGGAGATCTGGGCACCTACACCTGTGGTGGCTATCCGGGCACCACACTGGACCAGATCGAGTTGGATGCTCGCACCTTTGCTTCTTGGGGAGTGGACATGCTGAAGCTAGATGGCTGCTACTCCAACTCCTCTACCAAGGCCCTGGGTGAGAACAGGAGCGACTGGCCTGGCTGGCATCACTCTGTTGCATCTGGGTGAACAGAGCACATTTGCCCCAAGCACTGTCCCACGTGGCTGTTCGGGATTAGGGAATCTCTGCAGAATTCATAGAATCTGAGAATGATACAGCACAGAAGGAGACCATTCAGCCCAATGTGGTTGTACTAGCAGCTTAGTAGTGCTATCCAATTGGTTCTATTCCCTTCTTTCCCAGTAGTCCTCCGAATGTTTTCATTTGAAATATTCTGTTTTGAAAGTTATTGTTTATTCTGCTTCCATCACCCATTCAGGTAGCACCTTCCAGATCATCACAGCTCCCTGTATAAAGTATATTCTCGTCTCCTAACTGACCAATACTGGAGGTGTATTTTTTCCTGTGCCATCTGATTACTACCATTCCTGTCATTGCAGAAGTCTCCTTATTTACTGTATCATTATTGTATATTAATGTGAGATAATCACGGCCTGATCTGTATACTCAATCCCAGGAGCAGTGTTTCATAGAGTCATATAGCACAGAAACAGACCCTTCCATCCAACTCGTCTGTGCCGACCATGTTCCCAAACTAAACTAGTCTCACTTGCCTGAGTTTGGTGCATATCCTTCTAAACCTTTCCTATTCGTGTACTTATCTAAATGTCTTTTAATTGTTGTAACTGTACTTGCATCCACCACTTCCTCTTGAAGTTCATTCCACACACGAACCACACTCTGTAAAACAAAAAGTTGCCCCTCATGCCCTTTTTAAAACTTTTTCCTCTCACCTTAGAAATAGTTTTAAACTCTCCTACACTAGGAAAAATACCCTTGCCATTCACCTTTGTGCCGCTCAGGATTTTATAAATCTCTGTAAGGTCACCCCTCAACCTCCTGTGCTTTAGTGAAAAAAGTTTCAGCCTCTCCAGCCTATTTTTATAACTCAAACTCTCCATTCCTAGCAACATCCTGATAAATCTTTTCTGAACCCTCTCCAATTTAATAATATCTTCCTACAGCGGGGCGTCTAGAACTGCATACAGTACTCTAGAAGAGGCCTTACCAACATACAGTACAACCTCAATATGACGCCCCAACTCCTATACTCAAAGGTCTGGGCAATGAATGCTTTCTTAGTCACCCAGTCTACCTGTGATGCAAATTTCAAAGAATTATGAACCTGAACCTCTCTCTATTCTACGACACCATCCAGGACCCTATCATTAATTGTATAAGTCCTGCCCTTGTTTGTTTTACCAAAATGCAGAAATGTCCATCAGGAGCCTTTGCCCCTGAGGTCATGGTTTCAAGCCCCCGCTGTAGTGACTGCAGCTGTGCTTCCACGTGTAGTCCTTAGAGTGTTACTGTATCAGAGTGTCATCTTTCAGATGAGATACCAAGGCTCTGTCTCCCATGGCAGTATTTTGGAACAAGAGTGGGGAACTTACTTCTAGAAGCTGAGGTAGTGTTTATTTTTCAATCAACATCCCAAATAAAACACAAGTTATGTGGTCATTATTTCATTGCTGTTTGTGGGAGCTTTCTGTAAGCATGTTGGCTGCTACATAATGACAGTGCCAGCACTTCAAAATGACAGGGTATTTCATTAGATGTAAGGCACTTTGGGGCATTCTGAAATGCAGGTTGTAAATATAAGTCAATAGAGAATTCAGAAGAAATGCCCTTTCTCAAAATAAAGCAATGGTGGTGTAAGAAATGATCCCTAGTGGCCACAGCTTGTAATTGCCTTGTTTACATAGAATTTCAATCCAAAATGTTTACATAGGCACTTTGAATGTTAAATGTTGATGTAAAAATATGACCAAGATTGTGGCACACCATAGTGACCATTCATGACGGCTCAGTGGTTAGCACTGCTGCCTCACAGCACTAGGAATCTGGTTCAGTTCCACCCTGGGGTGACTGTCTGTGTGGAGTTTGCACATTCTCCCCGCGTCTGTGTGGGTTTCCACCAGGTGCTTCAGTTTCCTCCCACAGTCCAAAGATGTGCAGGCTAGATGGATTGGCCATGCCAAATTACCCGTAGTGTTCAGGGGTGTGTCGATTAGGTGTGTTAGCCATGGGAAATGCAGGGTTACAGGGAAAGGTAGGGGGATGGGTCTGGGTGGGATGCTCTTTAGAGGGCTGGTGTGGATGTTTTGGGCCCAATGGCCTGTTTCCACACTGTGGGGATTCTGTGGTTCTACTCAGGTGATTCCTGGCATGTATATTATGAATTTTGTTCGTTGTTCTCCTATAAAAGTGGCTGTCTTGCGAGGATCTATTTTCATGGTCACCTCTCATTCTCCCAGTTACTCCTCAATCCAAAATTCCATTCTTAAAGCCCCTCTCTCACTCCCAACTCCCCAGGACCCTCCTCAAACTCACGTTTGTAATCAAGGCTTTGGTCATCTGCTTCCAACTTCTCTTTCTTTGGATCAAAATCTTTTTCTTGGAGCTGGTCACATTCCTGTGAAGTGACTTGGGGCATTTTCTGTTATGTTTAAGGACCGATAAGCTATTCAACTGCGGGTGGCATTGTACATATTATATTAAAGCTCAATCTTCTCCAGGCCAAAACTTCATTCATACTGGCCATTGAAGCAGAAACTGCAGGCTAATCAACTTGTCTAGCTCCCCCTCTGCAATGGCGGTGAACTGAGAGGACAGGGACAACTGGTGATTTTGTGACCGGGTTGAGGAGGAGAATTGGTAGAGTAGGAGGCTGTGGCAGTGTGGGGATGATAGGAGGAGTGGAAGCAGACTCTGTTCGGGTCTTCACTTGTTTTCTGGTTAGATCTGTGCTAATCAAAAGATGGATGGATTTTTAAGTGTAATCATTTGTCATTTCTTTTCTGAACAGGGTATCCATTGATGTCAAAGGCACTAAATGCCACAGGCCGTCCAATAGCCTTCTCCTGTAGCTGGCCAGCTTATGAAGGAGGTCTGCCCCCTCAAGTAAGGCTGAAGAACACAGTATCTGCCTCACTCTCTAATGGATGGATGGGGGTGGTGTGGGCTTGTTCACTTGGCTGGATGGCTGATTTATGATGCAGAGTGATGTGCGGTTTTCAATTTCCAGACCAGTTACCATGAAGGTCCCACCTTCTCAACCTTATTCTTCACCTGAGGCATGGTGACCCTCAGGTTAAACCACCACCAGTTGTCTCTCTGTAATGAGAGACATGAGTAATCCTCTAGGACTATGACAACTTTACCGAAGGGGGATCTCTCCTGGATTCCGCACGTGCTTGCCATGTTGTCTCTGGTTGCTAATTTCTTGTTAGCAGCCAGAATCTTGTGAATCTCATTACCCTCTTCTGACATTGATATTGAGGACAACATTACTGGGTGAGAAGAGAGCCAAAACTGGAAGTTCTGCTGCATGTTTGGAGGAATTCTGCCAGATCCCAGCCTCTGGAAGGTGTAGGGATCAGAAACACAAATAAATTGAAGGGTGAAGTGATGAGGAAATGCTTGTGAATGAAAGCTTCACAGCTTGGATGGAAAGTTAAAAGACCAGCTGAAATTGGACATTATCAAAACAGCTATCACAGCAGGAGCCATTCACATTGATGAGTCTGTTTGACTCGTCCTCACTTCAACTCTGTTCACCTGCTTTTGATCCATTACCCTTACCCAGCAAGAATCTATCTATCCCAGTTTTGAAATCTCCAGGTGAGCCCTGGCATCACTCTGCTTTAGGGAGAGAGACTTCCTGATTTCCAGCAACATTTGTGAGGGAAAAGTGCTACCTGAATTCAACCCTGCAATAGCCCCTGACTCATACTTGGGTTATTCTTTCTCAGTCAAATCCTTTAATCATCTTAAACACCTTGATTGTATCACCATTAAGTCTTTTAACTTTAAACCATAATCAGTCTAAGTTAATGTAATCGACCCTCATAGTTTAAGTATTGGAGCCATGGTACAATTTACCTGTGTCTCTTCCAAAGTGTTACTAGATTATATTCCCCTGGACAATGCCAATGGTATTTAACCAAAGTTTTTTTACAATTGAAGCAGAACCTCTTCCCTGTTGCATTCTGGGCCTTTGAGCTAAAGGCCTGTACTCCACCTTAATGAAGTACTTTGGGATCTCTTGAGGTTGTGAAGATGCTATAAAAATGCACTTCATTTTCACACTTACTCTTTTACCAGTTTACACCCTCCCCTCATGTTCTCCATCTCTTACTCTTCCCTGCTCACTCCTCCCCAACTGCATGCCCTCATCTTTCAGCCTCCTCCATTCATGAACATTGTCTTTATGAACGTATGGCTGTTTGCAGGTGAACTATACATTGCTGGGGGAGATCTGCAATCTGTGGAGGAACTATGCTGATATTGACGACTCGTGGGAGAGTGTTCGTGGCATCATTAACTGGTACTCGAGCCACCAGGATGTGCTGCAGCCTGCAGCTGGCCCGGGAAAGTGGAATGACCCAGACATGGTACCCTGCCTTATTTTCCTTGGTTCACACACTGCTCTGCCACTCAATGGGAGACTTTCAGACACACAGGGTTAGACATGTTCATTGGAGTAGTCCTTGCTGTCGGCACTTGTACAAATTAGGAGCAGAAGTAGGTCATTCAGGCCTTCAAGCCCGCTCTGTCATTCAGTAAGATCATTGCTGATCGCTACCCCCCCCCGCCATTTTGAAAGTTCTTGTATATTTTTATTATATCTTATATCTACGGTGTCCACTTTCATTCAGATGTCAACTTCCATTCAAAGTTCCACTCCACAGACTTGAGCCCCTATTCTGGACTAACAGTCCTAATGCCGCACTGCCAGAAGAGCTTTTGCCCTCAAGTGTTGTATGTAAAGGACCCTTGGTATTACTCACAGATGAGCAGGGAAGTTTTTCCTGGATGATTTTTATCCCTTGATAAACACTAGTAAACCAGATTTTCTGGTTATATTCTCGTTGCAGTCCATGCGATCTTGCTGTATCCATAAATTAGACATATTCCAGTTGTGACAATACTTCCGAATATTCATTGTTTCCGAACTTTGCAACGTCACAAGAGGCAAAAGCTGCCAATCCCTCTGACAGGAAGAAGGAAGGGGAAGGGGCCAGTGACGGGCTACGCGGCAATGTGGCTGAAAACCACCTTGTAATTTCTGCTAATGTGTTGGTGAGGTATCATATTGGTGTCTTTCTCCATGGTTCCTGTCATCGATTCTATCCTTCTCATGTGTCATTGTCTGAAACTGAACCAGATTGTTTGTAATCTTGACATCCTAATTGAGCTAGCTAAGGTTTAAGCCCCGTACTCTCTCCATCACTGGCATCACCTATTTCCATCTCCCTAACATCACCGTATACTGTACCTTTCCCAGTTCACCAGCTGCTGTAACTCTGGACCCTCCAAGCTCGTCTATTCCGATGTGGCCAGCCTCTAACCCTCTGCAAAGATCAGCATATCCAAGCCTCTGCTGCCCTCCCCTGACTAGTACCGGGTCCTGATTCACCTGTATCACCCCTCTGCTTGCTCCCTGGCATTGACTTCTGAAACCACAGTGCTTCGAATTCTCACCCTCGTTTTCAAATCTTTTGCCCCCTCCTGATGTCTGGGACCCCATCTAGCTCTGCAATCCTCCAGTTTTGGCCTCTTGCACATCCCCAATTTCCATCTCTCCATCACTGGTGCTCAGTGTCCACATAGCCGCGTGCTGATATATTGACTTCCGGTTCTGGAAACCACTGCCGTGCATGGACCCTGGAGAAAATCAAATTCAGGGGAATGTAGCTAATGCCTATGTCTTCAACTATCCAGGCCCCGATCTCTCCCTAAACTTCTCCAATTTTCTACCTGTGTTTCTTCTTTGAGATGCGCCTAAGATCGATATTACTTGATCTAGTATCACTGTCAAATTCATAGAATCATACAGTATAAAGAGGCCTTTCGGTCCATCGAAACTGTTCACCCAAAAATGTACTACTTGCTACATTAGTCTCACTTTCTCACACATAGCCTTGAATGTTATGATATTTCAAGTGCTCGTCCAAGTACCTTTTAAAGGTTTTAAGGTTTCCTGCCTCAGCTGCCCCTCCCAGGCAGTGCATTCCTGTGCCCCACCACTGTAGGTGAAACATTTTTTCTCAAATCCCCTCTAAACCTCCTTCCTTTCACCTTGAAAGTGTGCCCCCTTGTTACTGACCCTTCAACTAAGGGAAACAATTGCTTTCTATCCAGCTTATCCATGCCCCTTGTAATCCTATATACCTCAGGACCCCACTCAACCTTCTCTGCTCCAAAGGAAATAACTCAAGCTTATCCAGCCTGTCTTCATAGCTGTTTACATCTGTCAGCCAGGGCTCCCTGATTGGACCATATCAATAGCCCCAATCAGGGAACTCTTAATCTATGAGGTCCACCCGGCTGACTGTGTTACAGTCACTAGAGTCCTGCCATTCATTGAGTACTCCCTTGCCATGATATTGTCATGTCTTAAAATTATGTTTGGTTACATTACTGCAAAGTGCCTTGGTATAGTTTACTCAGTTAAAGGGTTTTTTTTAGAAAGGTTATATTTGTTATATAGTTAGTTACAGTGGTGTACTATCTCCATCCCTCATGCTCCTTTTTGATGTTTCTTTTCCTCTAGTTAATTATCGGGAACTTCGGCCTGAGTTACGAGCAGTCTAAGTCACAGATGGCTCTCTGGGCCATTCTAGCTGCTCCCCTCTTTATGTCTAATGATTTGCGGGCTATCTCCTTGAAGGCATCTTCCATCCTACAGAACAAGCTGCTGATCAGGATTAACCAGGATCCACTGGGAGTGCAGGGCCGTATGCTTCTGAAGGTGAGCAGCAGGAGAGATGGAACAGCAAGGAGATGCTGGGCTTTGAGGTGGGATTGGGCCCAGCACCAAAGTACATGATGAGATTGAAGGAATAAGTGAAGCTAGAGAGGGTTCAGAAGAGATTTACCAGGATGTTGCCAGGTATGGAAGGTGTGAGTTATAAAGAAAGGCTGGGACTTCTTTCACTGGAGCGGAGGAGGTTGAGAGGTGACCTTATAGAGGTTTATACAATCATGAGGGGGATAGCTAGGTTAATGGTAGGTGCCCTTTTCCTTAGGATGGGGGATTTCAAGACTAGGGGACATATTTTTAGGGTGAGAGAAGAGTGATTTAAAAAAGACATGAAGGCAATTTTTTTTTATAAGAGTCGTTCGCATGTGGAATGAACTTCCACAGAAAGTGGTGGATGCAGGTAGAATTACAACATTTAATAGACATTTGGATAAGTACATGAAAAAGAAAGATTTGGAGGGATATAGGGCAAGCGCAGGCAGGTGGGACTAGTTTAGTTTGGGATTATGGTCAACATCTTTAAGCCATGTGGACTGAAATGTCCCATGTCATTTTCATCTCTGATGAGTTAATTATTCTAAGTTGGGTCAAGTTGAGAGATGTTAGAATTGGCATGTGTGGATGAGGATGTACCATCTCTTACTGGTTACCAGTAACAATGGAGTTCACAGCCCAGATGGGAGATTGGCCCGTACTAGGGTCATGGGCACATTCTTGGTCAACCATGGTTGGATGCCCCATGAGAATGGAGGAGCTGATGTGAAAGAGTTGTGGAACAAGGGGATCAGTGTTTGGCTGTGGTTCAGAAATCAGTGACCCAGTTAGGTGGATCTTTAGGGAGTGGGGCATTTCACATTTGTGCCATTATTTAAGGCTTGTTCCTGCCAAGCTGGAGGTCTAAAATGTTTTGTGCTGGGAATGTGAGTTGATTGCAGAATAATAAGGGTGAAAGGACATTTGAGATCAATGGCATATCTCCTTAAGCAGTAAACTAATAAATAAACAGAGAAAGAACTGAGGAAGATAAATTAGAGACAAATTAGCAAATTCATTCAAAGGCATTTAAACTGTTTAATCTCATTTCTTCAGATAGTTGTTGGAGATTTTTGGTGATGTTGGAGCTGTACTTCCTAATGCAATCCTTATCTTGCTATTTAATGGCATATTCTGTGTATAGTTTGTACACTGTCATAGATTAATTATTAATCACTGATCGAAGCTGGCAAACATCTGATTGCTGCTTGGTCATCTGAAACTTTATTTTCCATCCAGGACTGATTAAAAACACTGCTGTTATTGCTGAGATACAAGAAGAGAAATAAAGAAATTGTAAGAAAGAGAATAGGTTAGAAAAGAAAGAAAATGTAAAATCTGACATTTTAAATTGCTGTATCTCCAGGTGCAATCTTGAAGATGTTTATAAGATATAGGAGCACAATTTACACCATTTTGCCCATGGAGTCTGCTCCACCATTCAAACATGGCTGATATGTTTCTCAACCCTGCCTTCTCCCTGTACCCCTTGATCTCCTTACAAATCAAGAACCTGTCTCTGTCTTAAATACACTCAATGACTTGGCCTCCACAGCCCTCTGTGGCAATGAGTTCCACAGATTTATGACCCTCTGGCTGAAGAAAATACTCCTCATCTCCGTTCTAAAGGCTTGTCCCTTCACTCTGAGGCTGTCCCCTCGGGTCCTAGTTTCTCCTACTAGTGGAAACGTCTTCTCCACGTCCAATCTATCTGGAGCCCTCAATATTCTGTAAGTGTCAATGAGATCCCCCCCTCATTCTTCTAAACTCCATCATGTATGGATCCAGAGTCCTCAATTGCTCCTCATATAACAAGCCCATCATCCCTGGGATCTTTCCTGTAAACCTGCTCTGGACCCCCTCCAATGCCAGTGCCTCCTTCCTTAGATACAGAGACCAAAACTGTTCACAAATTTCCATATGTGGTCTGAGCAGAGCCTGGTATATCTTCAGCAGTACATCTCTGCTGTCGTATTCTAGTACTCTTGAAATGAATATTAACATTGCATTTGCCTTCCTAACTGATAACTGAACCCGCATGTTAAGTTTTAAGAGAATCCTGAACTAGGACTCCAAAGTCTCTTTGTGATTCAGATTTCTGAAGCCTTTCCACATTTAGAAAATAGTTCTTCCTTGGGATGAACTTCTGTTGATCCTCTTGAGTTACCCCCAGAATTGCTGGTGCATTGTCTTCCTGCTAGGCTGTCTTTTCAATCAACTCTGGCCAGTTCTGTCTTTGTCTTTTCAGTCACCTTTACTCAGTTGTAATACCATTATATCTGATTTAAGTTTCTCCCTCTCAGAATTCACCCTGAAGTTTATCATACTATGATCACTGCCCCTTAGGAAGGGTTCCCTCACTTAAGCTCCTTAATCAAGTCTGCCTCATTACACATCACCAAATCCAGAATTGTCTGTTCCCTATTGGGCTCTAACATAAGCTTCTTCCACAAATTCCTTTTCTTCAGATCCGCTGAAGAAACCTGATTTTTCCAGTCCACCTGCATATTGAAGATTATTGTAATAGTGCCTTTCTTACATGCCTTTTTTATCCTCTGATTTTTTTTTTGCCACATTCTGACTACTGCTAGGAGGCCTGTACACAACTCACTTCAGGGGCTATTTCCCTTTGCTGTTCCTCAACTCTACCTATGCAGATTCTTCGCCTTCAGGCTCTATTATCACTTCTTCCTATTGGTTTAATTTCATTTCTTACTAACAAGGCAACTGTGCCCCTTTGCCCATTTGCCTGTCCTATTGATAGGACATGTATCCTTGGATATTTAGTTCCTAGCCCTGATCCCCTTCCAGCCATGTACCCACCAATTTCAACCTGGTGCTACAAGCTTATTTACCTTGTTTCATACACTGTGTGCATTTAAGTACAACATTAAGTACAACACCCTCAGTCCTGCACTAACTGACCCCTTCTCAGAGTTGTCTGCTGTACCTAAAGTTAGATTCCTAACCCTTTCCATACTCTGTCCTATTACTTCTTCTGGACTCTTTAATAACCTCTGCTGAGCCCTCCCTACTGTTTAAATTTTTCCATAACTTTCAAGGCAACTGAAACCAGCCTCCACTATTTGGTTTAAAGCCTTATTCACAACCCTAGTGGATGACATTGGCGTCTTTGTGCACACGTTGTTTTCCTCATTAGGTATTTGCCAAAGAAGTATCCTGCTTTAACATGAGAATGCTAGAGGATCTTTTTGAGGTATTAAGTTAGCATGACTCAAACCTATTCTATTACCTATCTGAAGATCTTTCTGTTCAATTGTAGTCTCCTGCCCTTTCTCCCTTCAGCAAAAATATCAAATGTTTTTAATCAACCCAGGTGAAAAATAATATTTGAGGAGTGCAAACAATAATCCAGGTGCTAGATTTGATAATTATTGGTTATTAATTAATTACAGTACACAAACCATACAGAATATACCATTAAATAATGGAATAAAGATTTCTTAAATGTATAAGGAATGTGCTGTCTACAGTTGTGCTGTCACCAAAAAATCTCCAACAACAATTGATTATCTGAAGGAATGAAAATTAATGTTCGAAACTGATATCTTTCTAGGCCAGAGAGGCTGACTAGCAATCATTAATCATGTCCATGTTGTTAAAAGGTATTTAGACTGTTAGAAAACAGATTTAACATGAGATTAGTTTAATAGCTAATAAACGCACAGATACAACAAGTATGATGAGGCTGAGAGTGAGATGCTGATCATGCAATGTAAATCAACTAGCACATTCTCAGAATTTGGAACATGACTCTCTTAATTTTTGCCCAATTTTCACATTCGTAATGGTTAACATGCCAGTATTTTTTGCAGCAGGTTGTGGCCAATCTGTTTTCAATAGCTATTATTTTTCCTGTTCCCCTCCCTCATCCCAGGGTAAGAACAATATTGAAGTCTGGTTGCGAGAACTTTCATCATCAACCATGGCACTAGCTTTCTTCAGTCAGCGCACTGACATGCCTTACCACTACACAACGTCTCTCAGCCAGCTCAACATTACCACCCCTCCGCTGTTCTCAGTGAGTATGGATTGCCTTTTGTGGTTTGATCAGGATATTACTGAAGCAAAACAGCTTCACAAGGGTAATGCCAGAGTGGAGAGGTCAATGGATTGGCCATGCTAAATTGCTCATAGTGTTTCACTGATGTGTAGGTTAGTCATGGGAAATGCAGGGTTACAGGGATAGGGTAAGGCAATGGGTCGGGGTGGGAATGATCTTTGGAGCATCAGTGTGGACTGGTTGGGCTGAATGGCCTGTTCCCACACTGTAGGATTCTATTCTATTCAACTCTCAGGGACATTTGAACAAGCTGAGGCTCTTTTTCCCTGGTAAAGTCAGACCTGAGAACTTTGTTTTAACATTATGAATGGCGGCACAGTAGCTCAGTGATTTGCACTGCTGCCTCACAGCACCAGGGACCCAGGTTTGATTCCAGCTTCAGGCCACTGTTTCTGTGGAGTTTGCATTTTCTCCCCATATCTGCATGGGTTTCTTCCTGATGCTCTAGTTCCCTCCCAAAGTCCAAAAATGTGTAGGTTAGGTGGATTGTCCATGCCAAATTGCTTCGTAGTGACCAGGGATGTGTAGGCTTGGTGGATTAGTTATGGTGAATGCAGGGTTACGGAGCCTGCATGGGATGCTCTTCAGAGGGTCGGTGCAGACTTGATGGACCAAATGGCCTCCACCAGCACTGTAGGGATTCTATGATTCTATTATTGGATTTGACAGCTGGGTAGATGCAGAGAGGAAATTCTCTGTAATTCAGGAGAAACTTCTTCACCCAGAACGTGGTTCAAATGTGGGACGCTTTTCCCCCAACGGGAAGGGATTGGTGCAAACAGTACAGATAAATTTAATGGGAAGTTATATGAACAAAGGAAGGAGTAGGGAATAGAAGCGTACTGATGGGGTGTGATGAACGGAGCAGGAACCTGAACACTGGCAGAGATTACTGGCTCTGAATGATAGAGTGCTGTAGATTTGATGAAATTGAGGTGCTGTGAGACCTTGCCAAGTTGCATTTGGAGAATCTGCATCTGTAACTCCCCTCTGGGACATCAGTGACATTTTACCAGGCATCTTTTCTTCAGGTAACAAGAAAACAGCAGAATTGTCTCCCCACTCTGCCAAACACAGCCACATCACTTCCACAAGTCCCTGTCTTACCCCCATTATCCTCCCAGGCCTATGCTGCTTATCTCCTTATTTATAATGGATGCTATTTAAACCCAGCACCCTGTAGTACTCTCACTGGCTGGATTCTGTCATTACAAATACATTTGCTGCTTCAATTAGAATTGCAGACATGGAAATTTAGGCTGTAAGTACAAACTGAAGGACAATGTTCATGTGTATAGATACATAGATTTGCCCATTGACTGCTGTCTGGGGAAGCAAGTTCCATAAAATCATAGTTCCCTGAGTGAAAAATATTCTCTTCATCTCTGTCTTAAATGCGAGCTCCTTCTTTTTAAATTGTATCCCCTAGACTTAGTCTGTCCCAGAAGGGAGCCCCATCCTCTCAATGTGCACCTCCAGGATCTTCTGCATTTCAATAAGAACACCTTTCATTATTCTAAATTCCAGCCATTACAGGCCCAACCTTTCCCCATGAGGTGATAACCTCATCTTAAGAATTAGCTAAATGCATCTTTGCTGAGCTGATTCCAATGTATGATTTACTCTCTCATTCTATTTGTAAAACATTCTTTGCCTGACCAGAACTCCGTGGACAGTTTTAAGTTCATTGCCCAGTTTGAGAATGAGTACTACTTCGCACGTGCCCTGACTTGGTCCTTTTGTTTTTTCTGGATTTAGATGCAGGATGTATACTCGGGGTGGGTCCTGCACAGGCTCGAAGTCAACACCAAGTTCACTGTCACCATTAATCCCAGCGGAGTTGTGATGCTGTTCGTGTATCCTGAGAGACAGTTAATACAGAAATGGGAGAAAAGGCCAGAATCCGGCCTCTTGAAACTGTGAAGAGGCCTTCATCACCCATGGCAACTACTATAAACTTTTTATTCCTCTCACGCACGTTGACTCTATGAATGTCTGTTTTATTCTCAAATTGAAAGCTCAGTTGTGCACCAAGCAAGAAAGGTATTCCCAATACCTTCTCTTTTCAGGATTTTGCGGGCTTTATTTTGTACTTTTACATCCAACTTAATTTACAATGCTCTGTGGACCTAAAAATTGCCCCCATGTCTTTTTTAAAATCTTTCTCCTCTCATCTTAAAAATACACCCCCTAGTCTTGAAATCCCCCATCCTAGGGAAAAGACACCTGCCATTCATCTTATCTATGCCCCTAATGATTTTAGAAACCTCCATAAGGTCACTTCTCAATCTCCTATGCTCTAGTGCAAAAAGTCCCAGCCTATCCAGCCTCTCCTTATAACTCAAAGGCCTCCTCTCCCTGCACCCCAGTGCTGGAGGCCATTCCTTCAGCTGCCCAGGCAGTGCTCAGTCCTGGAATTCTGTCCCTAAACCTCTCGACTGCTCTACTTCATTAAGACCCTCCTTGAAACCAGGGTCTTTGATCAAGGTTTTGGGGTCTCCTCCTTTCTTTTAACCAGGTGTCTATTTTGATTAGACCCCCAGCCTCTGTAATGTACCTTGGAAAGTTTAATACACAGGAGATACAAAGTGTCTGTAAGTTATTGAAGATCAGACCAGATCCATTTAGAGGAGATTCTGAAACTTCAGCGACCTCCCCCACCAACCCCCACACACCCGCACCTGCCCCCGCCCCCAGTTATACGCGGACATATTTTCCTGCCTTCACTCCTGAAGGCAGCCTGAATGGGTGGGATCAAACTCCCCCAGAGCCTGAATGTTTAGTTTTAGTTTTTCAGTAGCAGTTGCCAGGGTCTTGAAGCTGAATGTGGAAGCTGTTTTTCCTCTCCCTGATACAGCTAAAAGCTGGGGTTCTCTTCCTGTTGTTAGAATTACATCCGGAACATGATGCCTGGCATTTACCTATAAAATAAGAAAAAGTTAGGGTCCAGGCTATCCTCTTAATATATTTTGAGGGGATTTGGTCTGATCCATAACAAAGGTCTATCTCCTCTTCCTTTACTCATGAACGAGCAGACATGGTTAGTCTCTATTTACTCTGTCAGCTCCTCTTAATATCCTGAAAACTTCAATCAAATCACTCCTTACCCTCCCTATATTGATGATAAGAAAGTGCTGAGGAAGGGGGATTACACACTGAAAGGGAAGCAGGATTTTCTAAATGGGGAGAAAATTCAGAAGTCAGAAGTGCAAAGAGATTTGGGAGTTCTAGTCCAGGATTCTCTCAAGGTAAACTTGCCGGTTGAGTCAGTAGTCAGGAAGGCAAATGCAACCTTGGCATTTATTTTAAGACAACTTGAATATAAAAGCAGGGATGTACTACTGAGGCTTTATAAGGCCCTGGTCAGGCCACATTTGGAATATTGTGTGCAGTTTTGAGCCCCATATCTCAGGAAGGATGTACTGGCCCTGGAGTGGATTCAGAGGAGGTTCACGAGAATGGTCCCAGGAATGAGAAACTTAACATATGAGGAACATTTGAGGACTATACTCATTGGAGTTTAGAAGGATGAGGGGGGATCTAATTGAAACTGACAGAATACCGAATGGTCTGGGCAGAGTGGACATTGGGAAGATGCTTCCATTGGTAGGAGTGTCTAGGACCCAAGGGCACAGCCTTAGAGTAAAGGGAAGACCTTTTAGAACGGAGATAAGGAGAAACTTCTTCAGCCAGAGAGTGGTGAATCTATGTAATTCACTGCCACAGAAGGCTGTGGAGGCCAGGTCATTGAGTACATTTAATACTGAGATAGATAGGTTCTTGATTATCAAGGGGATCAAGGGTTATGGGGAGAATGGGGTTGAGGAACTTATCAGCCATGATTGAATGGCGGAGCAGACTCGATGGGCCGAATAGTCAAATTTCTGCTCCTATGTCTTATGGTCTTATGGTCTACAGAATTGTTTTCTTTCATTTTAAAATGTTTTGTATGTTTCCTGTTAGTTGTAAACTGTATTAACAATTCTGAAGTAAATTGCTTCTACTTTGATTTTTGTACTAAACTAAATGCTTCCATTGTATATTTTTTTCAAAAGCTCAAATAAACATTGACATTGAGTTTGAAACCTCATTGTAACAGATTCTGTCAGGGATTTGGTGATGTTCGTGGTACAGGAGTGGGGTAGTGCCAGTAGTGTCCCTGCCTCAGGGCTAGGAGACCCAGGATGGACATGTCATCTGAGGAATGGGAGGGGGAGTTGTACTGCATCCACTGTACCCATTGTGGCCTCCTCTACATCAGGGAAACCAAGCGGAGGCTTGGGGACCGCTTTGCAGAACACCTATGCTTGGTTCGCAATAAACAACTGCACCTCCCAGTCGCGAACCATTTCAACTCCCCCTCCCATTCCTCAGACGACATGTCCATCCTGGGCCTCCTGCAGTGCCACAACGATGCCACCTGAAGGTTGCAGGAACAGCAACTCATATTCCGCTTGGGAACCCTGCAGCCCAATGGTATCAATGTGGATTTCACAAGCTTCAAAATCTCCCCTCCCCCTACCGCATCCCAAAACCAGCCCAGCTCGTCCCCGCCTCCCTAACCTGTTCTTCCTCCCACCTATCCCCTCCTCCCACCTCAAGCCTCACCCCCATCTCCTACCTACTAACCTCATCCGGCCCCCTTGGCCTGTCCGTCCTCCCTGGACTGACCTATCTCCTCCCTACCTCCCCACCTACACTCACCTTTACTGGTTCCATCCCCGCCTCTTTGACCTGTCTGTCTCCTCTCCATCTATCTTATGCTCTATCCATCTTCTATCCACCTCCCCCTCTCTCCCTATTTATTTCAGAACCCTCTTCCCATCCCCCATTTCTGAAGAAGGGTCTAGGCCCGAAACATCAGCCTTCCTGCTCCTATGATGCTGCTTGGCCTGCTGTGTTCATCCAGCTCTACACCTTGTTATCTCAGATTCTCCAGCATCTGCAGTTCCTACTATGTCAGGGCTAGGAGATCTGGCTTCAAATCCCACCTGCTCCAGAGATACCAACATCTCTGAACAAGTTGATTAGAAAAATCTGGTACAAGAGTGGGACGTGAGTCACACCTGCAGTATTGAGAACATCCCATATCAGGTTCTTAGCTGTGGTGAAGAGTCAGCATCACTGCCACGTGTTTCAATTTGGCTATACACTTTGCTCAGTTTTTGGTGCATGCCTAGCCCTCCATTCCTAAAAGCTACAGATAATCTGTCCTGACAGTGAACGGTATAAAGGATTGATCGGTCCAGTTCCCAAAGAACCCCTGATCTCACTCTTGTCTTGATTTATCTTGACTCCTAAGGCCAGTTTGAATTGGTCTCAGATGCTCATGAGTCTGCACAGCGACAGTACATCTGAGCAGAGGACAGTGACATTGCCCATGTAAAGGAGGCTTTGAACCAAGTGGCTTAGCTACCTGGAGTAGTCACCACTCTTTGTGGCTGTACCCTTTTAATGCACTCAGCATAGGGTTCTATGTAGCACATAAACAGGCCAGGGGTGAGGGCACAGCTCTTCATATCTCCTGGTTTTGATCAAAAAGCTTCTCAATTCCCATCCATTGATTGAGACTGCACACTAATCTATTACTATTCTAGTAAATACTAGTCTTAGACCCAATCTTCTCCCTCTCACACTGAGTGTAAAATGCAATCATGTTGTGATCATTGCTATCGAGAAGTGCCTTTACTCAGAGGTCACTCATTAATCCTGTCACATTAGACAATGCCAAATCTAATATAAGCTGCTCTCTCTGGTTGTTTCCACAACATACTGCTCTGGGTTTGTATATTCATATGCGTTGATGTTTGTGTAAAGCATACAAACTATGTGCAGAAATAGGTCATTTGGCCCCTTAGGCCTACTGTACCATTCAAAAAGATCATGGTTGATCTGCTTTTATTTCACATTCCACATTCTCATCTATTCCCAATAACCTTTAATTCCACTGCCGAATAGAAATGTTATCTACCTCTGTCTGAAAAATATTCAGACTCCACCTCAATCATCTTCTGAGACAGAGAATTCCAAAGCCGCACAATCCTCTGAGAGGAAATATTCTCCCTGTCCTAAAAGGGAGACCCCTAATTATTAAACAGTGCTTAGTTCTGGATTCACCTACAACAGGAAACATTATGTCCACATCCATCTTGTAAACATCAATTAGGATCTTATACACTTCAATCAAGTCACCCCTCACTCTTCTAAACTCCAGTGGAACGAAGCCCAGTCTCCAGCCTTTCTGCATAAAGACAACCCACTCAGTCCAGGTATCAAGCTAGTCAAACTCCTCTGAATTGTCTCTGATGCATTTACATTTTTCCTTAATTAGGGAGACCAAAACTGTACACTGTGAACCAGGTGTGGTCTCAGCAATGTTCTGTATAAGTGTAGATTACATCGTGTCTTTTTGTTCAAGTCTCTAGTAATAAAAGATAGCATTCTATTAGCCTTTTTAACTACTTGCTCCTCTTGCATGCTACCTTGAGGGACTTGTGGACTATAACACCTAGATCTCTTTGCATCTCAGAATCTTGAAGTCATCCTCTGTATATACAACCCTGTCTGTATCCATTTTCAACCTCCTTATGACCTCTTCGCAATATACTTTCAAACCTATCTTTGTGTTATTAGAAAATGTGCTCCCCTTGTCTAGGTTGATGATTTAAACTGTAAAATACTGATGTCCTAGCATGGACTCTTGTGGGACCCCAATGCTCACATAATTTCAATCAGAAAAGACCCATTTATGCATCCTCCATTTTTTCTGCCAGCCAGTCAATCTTCCATCCATATGGTGCATGTATGGCATGAGCTGCAGGAGGAAGTGGTGGACATGGGTACAGTTCTAACATTTAAAAGACATCTGGATGGTTCCTTGACTAGGAAGGGTTTAGAGGGGTCTGGGCCAAATGCTGGCAAATGGGACTAGCTCAGATTGGGATGTCTGGTCAGCGTGGATGCATTGGACCCAAGGGTCTGTTCGATGCTGTATGACTCTATATGGTATCGCCTACACAATGAGCTCCTACCATGCACAATAACCTTTCACGTGGCACCTTGTCAGATGCCTTCTGGAAATCCAAATACAGTCTTGCCTTTCTTCACAAGATATGCTACTCCTTTAAAGAACTTCAATTAGTTGGTTAAACATAATTTCCCTTTTGCAAATCTGTACAGACTTCAGAGCAGTAACATTAGACTCTGGATCCCCTCCTCAAAGCCCATTTTGGTGAGCATGTCCCTCATGGTAGGTGTGTGATATCCTGATCCAGGCCACTATCCTGCATGTAGGCAATCACATCTCTAAGAAGCATGAGGCACTCAGAGATTTTCCTACCATGTACAGCTCAGGTTTGTTCAGGGTGAATCCCCATCAGCAGAGTAGACTTGTCTTAATGACAATGACCTTGGGCAGAGTTGTGTTGTCAACATTCAGCAGTGAGATGGACTGCCAATTTCTAACTGCATTCGTGACACCAAATGCAAACTGGGTGACTGCTTTGTGGAACAATTCCGCTCTATCTGTAGGAATGATCCTGATCTTCCAGTTGTTCTCAATTTCATTAAACCACCATGTTTCCACGTTAACATTTCCATCTTTAGCCACCCACAATGTTCTATTAAAGCACAATGCAAGCTAGAGGAACAACATCTCATTTTCCATTTAGGAACTTCATAACCTCTATGGCTCAAAATTGAGTTCCTAACTTCAGAGTGTAACCATAGAATCCCTACAGCGTGGAAGCAAGCCATTTGGTCCATCAGGTCCACACTGACCCTCTGAAGAGCATCCCACCCAGACCCACCTGCCTACCCTATCCCTGTAACCCTGCATCTCCCATGGCTAACTGGACTAGCCTGCACACCCCTGGACTCCAAGGGCACTTCAGCATGGCCAATCCCCTGCACATTTTTGGACTGTGGGAAAAAACCAGAGCACTCGGAGGAAACCTATGCAGACACAGGGAGAATGTACAAACGTTCTCACAGACAGTCGCCCAGGGGTGGAATTGAACCTGGGTCACTGGTGCTGTGATGCAGCCGTGCTAACCACTGAGCTACCATGCTGACCACTATGTCATTTTTCTGACATCCTCCCTCCGCCCACTTTCCGGCTGTGTCTTTCATCCATCATAGAGTCAGAAGTGGGAATTTTTGCTGATGATTGCCCAATGATCAGCACCATTCATGACTTATCCAGAAGACCTGATGGCATCCGTTAGAAGAGTGTGCAAAAGGAGGACTGAGGGGCAGAGTGCTGGCAGTTAGGAATTGGCTCATACCATACTACAGGGAGAGAAGTTACTGTTTGGTGTTTGATATATGGTTAAGGTCTATTCTATTTCTATGTTTTAAAACAGTGTACTTAAAACAGGATTAATAAAATATATAAAAATGTGAAACAAATAATTGAATAAATTATTTAAGTAGCTAGTTTTAAAAACACACATTAAGAATGGTAGCACAATATGTTGCGGCTGTAGCATGTGGGAGCTCCTGCATGCCAAAGTGATTCAAGGCAAACACATCAACAATAAGCAGTTACAACTCAAGCAGCTTTGGTCCAGAGTTCATGAGCTGGGGAATAAACAAGTGACACTGTGATACATTAGACAGGAGGAAAGTTACCTGGATATTTTGTTCTAGGTCCTATCCCTTCAGACAGTGTTTTCTAACTTGGTCCATGGTCGGGGCCATGAAGGTGTAACTGTGAGTGAGGGGTGTAAGGGGACCAAGATGTGTTGAATGTTACTTGTCCCATGTTAGTTCAAGCCTGGATATTGTCCTGGTCTTGCTGTATTTGGATTAGACTGCTTCAATATCTGAGTCATAAATGGTGCTGAACGTGGTGCATCCACCAGCAAATATCCCCACTTCAGACCTTACAATGGAGTGAAGGGCATTGATGAAGGAGCTGAGGATATTGAGGCAGTAGATGTGTTAGCATTAATTTTCCAGAATTTGGGAAGGTTAAATGCAATTCTTCTATTCAAGAAGGAAGGGAGGCATGAAACTCTAGGCTAGTTAGCTTGGCATCTGTTCTGGGGAAGGAACTAGAATCAATCATTAATGAGATATATAA